AAATTATTAATCAACGTTACCATCAGACATTCCCAAAATTAAGCGGCAGCTTGCATTTGATTGATCCTAGATCGATACGATCTTTCGATTAAAACGATGCCCCAGCGAGAACGGATAATGACGGCGAACAAGAGCAATAAAGAATAAAAGCAGAAGTAAAGCGACCGAGAGAATTCTGACGCGAAGAAGGAAAGATGCGGTCGGTGATGGTATTTTAATTAGTATCGCTGTGTCAGTACCAGCCCGCGTGACTCCACGGAGCTCAAGAGAGATAAATACTAGGGACAAATGGTGGAAATGTAAATTCATCGCGTATCATTGATTCACTGAACAACGAAGCCTTTTGCTGATAAATGTAACGAGAGATACGATCTTTCTTTCAATATTTTCCGTGTTGCCGCTGCCCCAGCTCCAACTTTCTTCCCGTTTATCTCCCCGTATCATTCACTCCCGTACTCCCTTTCTCCCGCCCGTTGCTCCCCGGTGCTGTCCAGTCCTTTCCAGTGTCGTTACAACGTCGTTACACCGTCCGCTCGAATGCACCGGGCGCATCTCACCGCGGCCGATGGTATCGCCGTAATCTGCAACAGCTGCAACGGGGCTCTCGCGGCTCTCCTCGCCCGTCTTATCCGTGATGCATCCCTGATTTCTAGTGCGCCTTCTTCCCCTCCGCGACTCTACCTCTACGCGCTCGCAAATGGCGGTGGCAATTTGCAGGTGCAAAGTTCACGATGGAGGGAAACCGCTAATGAGGGAGTGGTACGGGGTGCCCGATGCGCAACGCAGGGCACGCGTGGATTTTCAGAGAGGGACGGGTTAATTGCCGCCGCCCTGACCGTGGCCGGAATCGTGGCCTTACTCGTCCGCACTACCGCCGCTTTCCGCGCAACGCTGTATCGTGCGTTCACGCAGCCGCCGACTACTTGTCTCTGACAGCCGCTAATCTCTCGCCCGCGCACGCCCGTCGTCGTCGTGTCGTGGAGGCTTTTTTTGCGATCCGCAGATCGGAGCTAGCCAATGTTATCCCCGCTTCGGCACACCCCCTCGAGACCGTAACTGTCCGATGGCGCCTCTCACTAGCCATAAATTAATTAAACTGGCGCGGAGGTGTGCAGACGGGTGTCAGTGCGGCGTTCTTCATCTTTCGACCGCCGTTCGAACCGCTTTCGCCCCGTCTCGATCGAGCAGCCGAAACTGGGGGTCGCGCTACGGCTCGTTTCAAGAGGAAATCTCGTCGGAACGTCCCTCCCGCTTGCCCTCGAATAGAGGTATTTTGATCCATTTTGCAAAGGCATTTGTCATAATATAATGTACACAGGTAGAGCGGCAGTAATAACATATGTAACTTTGACGGTACACAGCTTACGTAATTTCTTTGGCAGTGTATCGTGCCACTAATTACACACTGAACGGGTGCTAATCGCTTCCAAGTACGTATGTACATCGTTATTATAATTATTACTGTGTGGTCTATATGGGAATTTATCGTCGTAACGTCATTTAAGATAAGACAACTTCGTACACGGTTATTGTAAGCAACCTGGCTTAAAAATACAACGGCGCGTATATCATGGTCATTCGGGCGCATGCACGTGACCGAATGACAAGAGCAAACGCGGGATGGCGGGGGTGGGGCCCTTTCGCGAATCCATTACGCTTGAGACGTTCCGTCCCCGTCCACCCCGAGGACTGCGTTCTCGCTCCTGGCGCAAATATGAACAGCAAGGAGGCCGCGGCGAGACGGTCGAATTTTTATCACGCGCCCGCAGATCGTCTTAGGAACGGCTTGTAACGTCGGCGCATAGTTGTTCGCATAAATCGCTCTTCGGCCGACGTATGGCAGGGGGGCGTGAACGGGGCGTAGCAACATAGTAACGTTTATTACATTGGCCGGGGCAACTAGCGAACTGTGCGCCCTCGATCCCTCCGGAGGACCCGGGCGCGTTAAAAACCTTGCGGGATCCCACTCATCGCGGCGCTTATCGATGCCATTCTATCTCGCGCCGATGCCCCGATGCCGATCGCGGGAGGAACAAAGACATCCGAATGATAGAGGACGTCCTTTTGCCGTCGATGTCGCGATATTGTTCGTCCCCGCGCTTGGTAGACTCGGTCTTAAGGCCAACTCGGACTAGCAATTGCCGACTCGGAGCGAATTGGGATTGACGATTGTCCTCTAGCCAATGAGAGTCGACTAAATCGCTGGCTGCTTTGCTCTCATTGGCCAGAAGACAATCGCCAATCCCAATCCAATTCGTCTCGACAGTTGCTAGTCTGGTTTTTAATGCCTTAAGTGTCCACGATGCTAAAACTTGGTCCAAGTTTCGTGAAATGCGTATAGCCAATCAACTTGCAGCTATTCCATAAAAGCTGCAAGGTGATCGGCTATACATTTTTTGGAACCAGAACTTGGACACAGGCCCTTAGACTCGGTCTTAAGGTCTTAAGTGTCCACGATGCTAGAACTTGGACCAAGTTTCGAGAAATGCGCAGTCGATCAACTTGCAGCTATTCCATAAAAGCTGCAAAGTGATTAGTTACACATTTCCCGGAACCAGAACTTGGACCAAGTTTCGAGAAATGTGTAGCCGATCAACTTGCAGCTATTCCATAAAAAGCTGCAATTTCATTGGCTACATTTCTCCGAATTAGAACTTGGATCAAGTTCTAGCATCGTGGACGTAGGGGCTTAAGAAGGGGATACGTGCGACAAGGTTCGACGATACGATTCTAAAATAAGACACGCCAACGCTTCAGTAAGTTCCCCTCGTCGTGGATAATGGCGGTCGGTTCGATTTGATGTAGAAACGAGCGGAGCGTAGGTAAACGAGGTAGTCGATACGAGCTCGCGACGAATGTTCCATTCCCATTGTTTCGCCGGTGTGCAGGTCACTTCCACGAGTAAAAGATCGATCGGCGATGGCAACGGGTGGTCGGATGCACCGGTGAGGCGCGCGTCGTTTTCGCATGAGCTCCTCGTCGCGTTTAACTAGAAGTGACTGCGCGCCAAGGGGGGAAGACCGGATGTGGTAAAGAGACAACCACCACGGACGCCACTCGCCGGCATTAATTTCTCACGACACGCCGCGCAATTCCCTTTTACGTATTGTAGGGCCACCAATTATACGCACGCTCGTGGAAGTGCAAGTTGTATACGTACGTGCATCGACACGTCGTACGTTTGAAAATCATTTAGTGGCGCAATTACCTGGGTGCATGCGATACCTAAATTGGAGTGGGGGGGGGGCGCGGGGAGTGTTAATTCTCGATTTGACTACGTGTGTTCCTCGCCTCATGAATGACGAATTCTCATGGGAAGGAAGCGAAACAATATTAGGAAGTCGTAACGGGATCGAAATTATTGGCGAGATTCTCACAAAGCGAGGAAAACAATGAAGGCGGCGGCGAAGATTTGTTTCAGGCCTCATAAGGCTCGTGTCGGGATAGAAATGTTCACGGGGAACTCCCGCTCGGGGGGGGGGGGAGGGGGAAGGATAAAGGAAACCACGAAATCCGAAATAATCTCCGCGCCGGTGACTATCCAAGATCTCGTAAGACACTCGCGATGTCAAGACGATCGTGTCGGAGCGAGATTAAACGCGATCGCGGAAACTCGAGGAAATTAAACGCGAGGGTCTCGTAAAATCATGGGCAAATACGATCGTGGAGCTCTCGTTAATTCGAGACGGCGAGATCCTCGTGGAACCGGAATGCTATTAAAGCGATCGTCAAACTCGCACGGTGTTCGCGAGGCTCGCGCATTGTGCAAATTAAATGGTCACGCCTTCGGAAGTGCCGTTACAAGCGCGATTGAAAGCGCACGCAGATTGCAAAGGGGAAACAATCTCACTCGGCTGTCAAATAGAAAGAGCCGGCCGATCATCGGATTGTCTCGACGAGAGGCAAACGCCGCGATCTGACGCGACCGTAAGATTTCGGGGCCGGGTCCCCCGGCACAATAGAATGAGATTCTCTGTGACTTACGTTTATACTGCTGAGGGGTGTCGGGCTGACACCCCTGCGGCCGCTGCCGCCGCCGCTGCTGACCTCCGCGTCCAGTTTGGCGATTTGCCTGATCGCTGTGCGACGTGGACGACCGGTCCCCGGACTCGATCCTGAAAACGCGCGTAATCACGCGGAGGACGAGACACGCGCGCGCGCGGTCGGTCGCGAGAGGACACCGGATGAGATCTCTCTCTCTCTCTCTCTCACCCCCTCTCTCTCTCTCTTTCTCTCTCTCTCTCTCTCTCTCTCTCTCTCTCTGGGGTTGGAGATAGCGCGGCTTCGATCACGACTCCATCTCTCGAGTGCTCTCGAGCGATTTGTCGAGTGTTCCAAGACGGACCTCTTCCCGCGATACTGTCTCTTTCGCGCGGCAATTTGAATCGTATCGATAGGAGACGCGCGGCTATCACACGTCAACGTAGCATGCGAGTCGCGCGGAGTAGCCACCTTCGAGGCAGCCGGCTACATTGATAGCGACGAGCGCACTGGCTGGCTGAATGGCACTCGTAAAACGTACGCACACGGCAGTGCTCGCGACGTTGCTCGTCGAGGCGCGGAGCGTCGCGTCGACGCGCGGCGCCGCGCGGCGCGGCGTGGCGGAGCGCGCGGCCGGCCGGAGCCGCGAGCCTCATATTCACTGAACGACGGCGACGCGATGCAACGCGCGCGCGCGCGCGCTCCGGCGGTCAGGACGCGGCGCGAACGTCAGTCCTCGCGGACGGGAGACACTGTGCCGCGACGGCCGACGGAGCGGTACCCCTTTTTTCGTCGATCAATGCGCATCCGCGCCGTGCCACTTGATTCCTCTCGCGCGGATACCGATACCCGATCCCCTCCCCCCCCTCCCCGGCGAGCGAAACATTCGCGACGACGGCAACGGTGACGATGTCGATGGCGACGATGATAATGACGATGGCGACAGCGACGGTGGTAGTGGTGGTGGTTGATGGTGGTGGTGGCGGCGGCGGCGGTGGTGGTGGTGGATGCGCGCGTGATTAAGGCGGCGACGGCGGTGACGATGAAGGCGACAACCGCGACGGAGGCGAGTCGGCGTGCTGCTCGTCGTCGTCGTCGTTCGCCTTAAGGGCCGTTGGTCGCAGACGCATGCTCGCGGCACGTCGCAGCCTCTCGCACTGACCGCACGTAACACGTAAGAGAGAGGTGCGTACTGTACTTGTGTGCCTACCCCCTCCTGCTGTCCTTCTCTCTCTTTCTCGCTCTCCGCGCCTTCCCTCCCGTCGCGCGCGCGCGCTCCGCGCTCGCCCTCCGCGCGCCTATCTCTCCTTATCGCGCTAGCGCTCTCCTCGTCCACTTTCTCGTCAATTACCGCGCGCGCGGAAGACGGCCAGGGGGAGAAGAAGAGTCCCCCGACACACACGCGTGCGAGCGCGCCCGCGCGCGCGCGCGCGCCGGGCCCTCTTTGAATCCTTGCTTTGCGCGCCGGCTTCTCGCGGGTATCCTCGCGCGGGAACTCCGTAGGGAACGTTGAACGCGAGTCCGAGATCGCCGTGGCGCCACTCTTCCTCCCCTCCCGGTGCGTCCATTCTCTTCTTCCACCTCGTCCACGTCCTCGTCGACGACGTCGTTGTCCTCCGCCGCCGTGAGCGAGCGAGTGCCGCCGCGCAGCCACGGGGCTGCCTCCTCTTCGCAACGCGGCGCCGCGCCGCGCCGCGCGTCCCACCTCGTTTTTCCCTATAATTTGCTCGGCAGCCAGGCTTTTTTTTTCCTTTACTCCATTTTCGTATCTCTCCTCTCCGCGGCCCCGCCGCTCGTCGCTACCCTTTCATCCCCTCCGCCCTTCTCCTCCTCCTCCTCCTCCTCCTCCTTCTCCTGCTGCTCTACCATCGTTCATCCTCTGCGATGTCTCTCTTTTCCTCTCTGTCTCTGGCCTCCGCTACTGCCACCGCCACCGTCACTGCCTCCGTGCCTCTATCTCTGCCTCTGTCCGCCTGTGCACATACCTCTTCCTCTTGGTGCCAGCCATGAATCCTCGATCGGGCCGGGGGGTCAGGAGGGCTGCGTGGCGCACCGCCCCTTTAATAGCGCTACGTCGACCTCTTCCATTCACCGTGCCTCCATCTATCAGTGGCAAGTCGAAGACCATTGTCGCGCTGGATGCTACCACGCGCTTTCACCCTGGGCAAACAATATTCACATGTGTCACGAAGGGGTTGCGCCTATTACGGGATTCTCGTTTTGACACGCGGAGATAAGGCTGTAATTTCTCTTTGAGAAAAGTTTTACAGAATCGCAGATCTTTGAAATAATCGCGATAAAAAGTTCATCGCAATTAAATAAAATTGATTACGACAAAACTGTGATTAGGTCCACAGTCTACGGCCCGCGGCCAGAATTTGGTCCCTGAAAACTTTTATTTGGCCCAACAATTTCGATACATGTGCATACATGCGTGTGTAATAAGTACACATACATATAATTTTCGTGTACAAATTCAGGTGTACAAGTTTACTTGAAATGTTAATAGCAACGCTTTGTTGTAAAACGTTTCTGCGATTTACCAGTGATTCGATCCACCTGTCAGAAGGTGCAGAAAAATACTCCGAGGTCGTTTACCATAGTCGGTTCTTCGCTGAGCGGAACCAAAGGCGGTGACATATCGAGTGACAGAAGATATCGAGAGAGAACTTGATATACCATTTGTTAACGTTTATTGTTCGAGTTTTTCCTACTTCCACGACCTTTTTTCCTCCCTTTGTAATATCGATACCTTTGCCCTAAAATGACTGGAAAATCAAGGCGTGTAATGGTCGCAGGCGTAAAGAATTTTTGAGAAAAGATAAATATGTGTATTATAAGATACAATTTTTTAAAAATAATTTTTGAAAGACAGATTACTTCTTTTACAGAATAAATCTATAATTTTCAACAGCTAATGCTTACAATTAGTTGTTAGATATCTTCATTGTCAAGATTTAAAAGATAATAGAGATAACATTATAATACGTATTGACTAGTATAATTATTAACTCGCATAATTTTAACATAAGTAAAAAATGTATATTTATTTGTATTTATTTTAAAAAATGTGTAATCGCACTTTACAAATTTATGTCAATCAATAGCAAAATGCTTTCAAAGAAACAAAATAAAAATAACTAACTCAAGTTAGCTTGATTAGTTTTCTGTTTTTAAACAGGTATAAATTTTCTTACAAATTGATTTCCTTTAATATTCTACATGTATTCTATGTATATATTATTATATATTTTTCCACTAAATATAAATTAAATATATATAATAGAAATATTAATATATTTAATGTAAAAATATTTTCTTAATAATATATATTTTATAACATTTTACAAACAAAATAACTTTTTATGACTGTAAGGAAGAATTTGTAAGAATATTTTAGAAAATTGTATTTCTTTAAGATTTAGTTCTGTAATTGTACGAAATTATCTAATATAGTTTGCCTAGAATGTATAATCGTTAAGAAATTTGTATGAAATTATACTAATCAAAATGTCAAACATTAGTATTACACAGGGCCGGCGTGACCTTTTGCGGGGCCGGGTTCAAAAATTTTGCGGAGCCTGAATACACATTCAAATCCTACACTTAAATTTTACGACGAGGAATTATTTATTTACAAATGCTGTTACATATTATAAATTTTTTATAAGATGAATATTAATAATAATACAATCCAATAATAATAAATGTCAGGCGTTGCTATGCCCAGTTCCTATGCAAGTTCGTAGGAGCTGCGAGCTGCGACTCGTCGACAGACTTCCAAAAATTAGGGAGTCTTATCTCTATTTTTTAAGCAGTTTTTTAAACAAATCCAAGTAATATTTTTTCGCATCCATAATTCGCTTTCAAGGGGCAAAAAATTCAATGAAAGTACAAAATCTGTAATCATGTATGACTTTTGTAAAAAAAACTATTGATGTAGTTTAATTTCTCTAAAAAGTACATTTCTCTGAAAGCGTCTGGATTTTTTTATCTAAAGTAGTTTCCAGGATATGAGGACTTTATGGAGTTACACTGATCATTGATGATTTTTGTTACTCCTTTAAACTGATTCATCGCTACTAAAAAAATGTCTTGCATCTGTTAATGGTATCATCATTCTGTAAAAAGTTAATCAAAATCGGTGTTTTGTAATTGGGATAATTTTCGTAGACCGCGGGGCCTCTCAAAACGCGGGGCCGGGTTCCGGCGAATGTGCTGAACCTGCCTTGCGCCGGCCCTGGTATTACAGATGAAAGAAAGAATAAACTTGGAGGAGGTGGATCGCCAGTGGGTGAAGAAAAATATAACAAAAGATGATGATATCGACAATAACTGGCACATATGTTTATTTAAGGATGTATTGGACGTACAATCTTAGACAAAAGTGCATGAAATTGGAAATACTTAAATATCTACTCTTAACGCATAGTAAATCTAGATGTAAGAAACTTGAACGATAGTTGGAGTCTTATTTGTACTACACAAAGGTATTTTTCACTTATTTATTATTATTTACGATTTTTTTTCTCTTATGAGCCTAAACTTTTAATAGTGAAAATACTCTGATTTCAATTCTT